TGCCTGTACGGATTTAAAACAAGTCGGGTCAAGCTTGAGCTAATGATACTTGAGCCTAAGCTATTAACTTTGTTTCATTAATTACGTAGGTAAGTAATAGAGCTCGAGATTGACTTATTTGTCAATATTAACGAGTAGAGCTAGAGCTTCAAAACCTTCAACGAGCCAATCTAGAAAAAAAAATTATATAAAATTCTTCTTTTTGAGCTAAAAAAATGAACTAACATCGTTAACTAAACGAGTTCGAACTCAGCTCATTTATCAAGAAAGTCGAGACGAGCTCGTGAGTGATTTTTTTAATAGCTCTACCGATTGATAATACCCGACACCAGTTGTTTGTCCTATTTTTGTTGCGTTTTCATTGTCATTTTGCCTTTTTTTTTGTCCCATATTAGGTCTTTTCGTTTGTTTTTAGTTCGTTTTATAGGTTATTGCGTGTTTTCCTTTATGTTGGTTTTCCTTGTGTTTTTTCGATCGTCTTCTGGTTTTTCTTCGTCTGTGGTATGCAGGTTGAGTCCATGGTCGATTTTGATATGGAGGAGAAAATTGATTTGACGAGCATTTTCTGGTAGAAGAGTTTGTTGGCATCACAGATGAGAAAACGGAATCGAATTTCGAGTCCAAATGAGCTCGAAAGGGCCCGAGAAGCAACGTCCAGTAAGCTGCCCAATGCCACCCTCACGCCGCGGCCATCTCGCGTCACCCGTCACGGGCCTTCAGAAGATGCTGCTTCGCCCACCACGTCGTGCTGTCCGTCGCGCCGCGGCATTGCAGGACACTCGCGTCGCGCCACACCTCGCGGAGATCGCCACGCCTGGATAGAGACCCGAGCTTCCCAGACCGCCACGCCGCTGAGGACCCGTCACGCCGCGGCAACCTACCCCTCTGAGCCGCGCCAGTGTGCCGCGCCGCGGTGCTCGCTCCCTCCACGTCGTGCATCAATTTCTCTCCAGGCCGTGATCGTGCTATCCTATAAATATGCGACGGGACTTCGTCAGACGGGGGATCTCTCATTCCATAATACAGATAACCCTACCCGTATCTCTCTCTCGTTCTTTTCATTTTTTTCTTCATCTTTTGAACGTAGAACACGGATTTAAACTTAGATTTCAGTATTGCTTTTGGATTCAAGCTTGTTTATCAGATTCAACCGTGGGATTTATCAATCGTATGATTTCTCTTTTAACTTTACCGTTAAATATGAATTCTTTGATTGAGATTATTGTTGATGTTGAATTGATCATGAGTAGCTAAATCATCATGCTAGGGATAGGAGATTAATGTTTTGAATTCGTTTGTGATTGTTGGGATTTGTTGATCGTTCTATTTGTACGAGTTGCTCTTCAAAAAGGGTTTTTCAACTGTCAGGCTTGAGTATTGATAATTGTTGAAGGGTGACACTTTAACTTACAACTGTTCCAATTGAATTTGATTTATTCGTGCTTGAAATTGGTTATTCTTATTGATTAGTCGGCTAACAACTCTCTAGTCTAATTTAATCGACTCTTAGAACCGAAAGGGGAGGAGTCGGTCGAAATAGGCTCATATAAACTAGGCTTGTTCATAACTGTATTGCATAGGTGTTAAATGACTCGTTAATTCACCGTTCACGTCTGTCCTCTTGTTACGAAGAGTTATTGAGGATAAATCTCTGAACGAGTGAGTTATTCGAATAATTTAACCGAACGATCACTTGCCCGATAATTGCATTTTCGAACCAAAACGGATATCCCCGACTCCCTAACTTCTTAAATCTTGCTTGTTCTACGTGTTAGCTTGGTATTTCAATTTGCGTTGCTTAAATTCTAGTAGTCGATAATTTGAAACCAAACCAATCATTTGAATTAGTATGTTTAGGAATTTTATTTCTTTTAATCGTGTTTGAATAAATATGCATAATAATCCGGCTAACCTTCCTCGAGAGACACGACCCGGCGAATCTTTTGCTTCTACTCCGGAAAAATATTTACAACACCAGTTGTCCAATCGATACACTATTTTTTTAGGAACGAGGGGTTTTATAATAAATAACACAAATAATATTAGAACAACCGAATCAATTAGCTACTAAACTAAATCTAGAAGGAAGTCTACGCTAAGACAACCTAAATAGCCAAAACCAGAAGATACAAACACAGACTAAAAGAAAATACTAAGATACACCCACAATACAAACACNATAGTTGCACACCAAAGCTATCAACATTAACACAATAACTACCGCCAACACTCTTGGAGGTCAACCAACTCACAAACGATGAAAGAGCAACAGATCTAAAGCCAAGATAACTGAAAATTGCAGTTCACTCGAACGCCTAGTCAAATATAAAGGAACAAATCCGAAGAATCCTCACCGACATCCAAGAACCGCAACAGATCTAAATCCAACATACCTGAAAATTGTAGTTCACTCGAACGCCTAGTCAAATATGAAGGAACAAATCCGAAGAATCCTCACCGACATCCAAGAACCGCAACAGATCTAAAGCCAACATACCTGAAAATTGCAGTTCACTTGAACGCATAGCCAAATCTGAAGTAACATATCTGAAGAAACCTCACTGACATCCAACAACCGGTAGAGCCGCCACACAATGGACGACGATCTCGACTAGCATCAGGGGATCCCAGTGTCAGCCCCTCTAGAGGTCGAGCGATGGTCTGATGGCACATCAAAAAAGAAGCGGCAGTTCGACAATGATCTATGCTCTCTGTGAATTTTTTCTTTTGACCAAGAGGCTTCTAACAGAGAGAGAAAGAAGTGTCATATGTTGAAGATTGTTTACGATACACTTTCAAATACCATTTCTAACCAAAAAAATTGGTTTCTACCAATTTCTTGATGGATAATAACAATTATTTAATTTTTTATGGAGTATTTTACATAACTTTTAAACTTTTATACTTAATAAAAAGTTTGATAAATTTAATATTTATTTCAAACATTGTCTCCTCAATTCATTCATTCAATCAAGGTTCTAACGGCTTGTGCTCAGTTTGTACTATGAATGTTTGTTGGATTTTAATGAGAACTCTATCGGAGAAAAAAAAATCAAGGTTGAACGGTGCTTTTCCTCTCGGTACAGTACAATACAGTACCATCGAAAAAACAATTAGATTTTCCTCTGAAACTAACAGAGCCCACAGACCAATCGGATTGCAGGCGAATCTAATCCCTTTTCTGTAATTACATCCAAAGTCCAGTGGCTTAAAAAACAAGAAAAATGTTCAACATAGATAGATAATTAATTGAAAATGAAATGTTTATCAGAATCTTCAAACCCTAAACCATAGGGCCCGCAATTTGCCCGATGCATGATAATGGGCCAACCAGTCACAACTTTAAAATAAAATAAAATAATAAAAATAAAAATGTGCCATTTAATATAATTTTTAATATATTATCTTATATTTACAATAATTAGTAATTATTTCACTTCATCGCAGCATAATTCGTTATCTTATATATTACGCAACTTAAAATTGAGAAAACATAAAATTCTTATCCTAATACTCTCTCATCAAAATGATTATCAAATATAATTGTAAATTACAATCATTTTAAATGGAATGGTATATTGAAAAATAATCATTCACAAAGTTTATTTCAAGCTGTAATAATTAATTGTTCTTAAGCAGGAATGATGCACAAACATAAAGTTTATCATACATTTTAAGATAATTCATAAATATCACAACGTCATAATGTCATAAAATCATTAACTCTCATAATTTCACATTATTTATGGCAAAATTGTGAAAAAAGTTTATACCACTCTATTATTCTACAATTATTGCAGCACAGCTTTTCAAGCATTTTAGCAGATGAGTGGAATTAAGCTTGGTATGTGTAAGTGGTTTGAGACAAGTTTAATGAGCTTCACATATATTTGAATAACAATATAGTATATTTTACAATGAGGTACCATATACACCTAAAATTTAAGGTAGAACGTGTATTTAACATATGCAAATAACATACTATACATTATATTTATGTATATAATATTTAAAATTATAAATTAGAAAATGAGTATATCCGATTTAAAATTTTTAATAATTAGTAAAAATGAATAGTATAAATATGAATCACTTTATTGATGACATAAATTGTAATAAATAATATAATTTTATAATTTTGAGAGGTCGTGACCTATTAATTGACTGAAAATTATTATTATTATTATTATTATTATTATTATTATTTATGTGACTTTAAGGAATTTTGATTATATCATTAAAATTGTTAGCTGATTTAAAAAAAAAATCTAAATGAGATGTAAATAATAATAATCATAATATTACAATAAATAGTTTGAAGAAAAAAAATTATAATATAATTTTTGGTAAGTTGCTTTCTTATATTTATAATTAGTTACTATTATATTATAATAGAATAGTTAAAAATGTTGTTATAACTTAACATGATATAATATGTGACAGTAAGCTTATATAATTAACTAAAATTAAGTATTGGTTATGATTTAACGTTACATTTCAAGATTGATTGATTAATATAAAATAAAAATATATAATCTGAAAAAGAAGAAAACGAAAAGTATTGCAATTAATATTCTGCGTATAATTATATCTATATATATTACTCGTGTGTAATACAAAAATATAATAAAATACCAAATCTTAAAGAAAAATTGTATTTCACTAGATAAAATAACTAAAGGAGTTACATTTTTAAATTATTAATAGTAGACTAAATATATGAAGTGATAGTAAACTTATTTCCATATTTTCATATTCCCATTTGCATAAATGATGGTATTATAAAGGTGGGCAGTTTTATATTGTGGTCTTAAATTTTCATTAATATCTGTACCAAAAGGCAACAAAGCTGGAGAGAATCTAGAAATACCAAAAAAAATTTCCTTTACTTTTTCCTTTTCATTATTGCAAAAATTCAGAAATTATACACTCAAAGATTGGATTTTTAGTTCGAGGGTGTATTTTTTTTTTCGCTTTTCATCTTCTTTCTTGGTGTGGGTTTTAGTGAGAGAGAGAGAGAGAGAAGCAGAGAATAAAAAGAGACCAGATGTTGACAAATTTCATGTCACTGTTCTTGGAAGGTCGTTTGTTCAATTGTTTGTTTGAAGATTTCTTTTCTGGGATCTCGCTAAACCCTCTCTCTTGAAAAATGATTATTAATGTTGATTAGTATTAAATATATACAGTTGTGTGAATTCTTTTTCCTTTTTATATTTTTCTATTTGCCTTTTTAGTTCTTCTCTTCAATAGTCTTCAAGAAAGAGAGATTAGAGAGAGAGAGAGAGAGGCCCAGCAGATCGAAAGATCTCTAGTTGAATTTGATGAGAATCTGAGCTTCATCAATGGAGCTATCTCTTTGTATATTTGTTTAATTTTCATATTATTGAGTGCTACCTTCATTTTTCCTTCTTAATTTGTACCTTCTTTTTTTTCTATTTTATATACTTGTTTAGTGTGGAAGCCTCTCAAAACTTTCACAATCCTAGGTCCTCTATTCTTGGAGATACAACTGGATGATTTTAATCCATGATGTTTTCTTGAGTTTGGGTTGTTACAGGATGTGGGTCTGAGGTAATTGCCTTTTTTTTGTTCTGTTCATATGTTTAGTTTTGTCTTTAGAGATTTACTTGGCTTTGACTGTGACCCAGATGATGATTAACAGCTTTTAATGTTTTTTTTTTATTTACTTCTAATTTTGCCCTTTAGATTATCTATGGTTGAGGTATAATTATTGGTGAAGTACCTAGTTTTTTTTTGCTGGAATAGTTGGATTTTTATGTTTGGTTATTAGTTGCTAATGTAGTAGGTCGGTTTATTGAAAATTATTGATCTCCAAATGTTATATGTGTTCTTTATGAATATATACACACATTTTACTGGTAAATGTGTTCTGCAAACTCCATTTTGTGTTGGTTTCCTTATATTTGTGTTTAAATTTTACCTTTTATTTGTTTTCTTGTGTTCTGTTTTCAATCATAAGTTCCAAATTTTAATGCAGTAGTTGAAGTGAGTTAAGTCCTAGCATTTTAGAGGCCCCATAATTTATTGCCTTGTTAATTTAATGTATTTTCCTTGCTAAAAATTAGTTTCTATTCACAAAATTTCTACAAGGAGCTGGATTTTTTTTATATGTTTGATGTGACAATTTTCAAAGTCAAATATCCTACACACTGATAGAATTAAGGTAAATTGCTGCTTATGTGTTTGAATTAAATTTCAGTACCTTAATATGGTTTAGCCCGAATTTATCGTTTTCGTGCCTAAAACTGGATTCGTATCGTTCATGAAGTGATTCCAAAAATATCAAACAAACTGCTACAGTTTAGTTAAATTTCCTATGTGTAACCAGTTGTCAAATTTTCCCATTTAAACTCATGCACAAAGCATTAAATAGATTTTGCCATTTTGATCCACTGTAGGTTATCTTTTTCTTCTACTTTTGTACTTCGCCATTTATTGTTTCATTAAGTATTCGCACGTTGTGTTTCATCTGAGGAATATGGCAAAGGCTTTGTTGCAGGTGATTTGTCAGACTCGATAAAGAATTTTACTTTACTTCATGAAGTCCTTATACTCCTTAGTACTTAGTACACTTCTTGATGGGCATAAAACATTTTGATCCTACTTTTCACAATTTTTGTTACAATCATTAACACTAAATACAGTTTATAAAAAGCAAGGGAAGCAAAAAGTTCGATTGTTGCTGAAAAAGTGAAATATTGACTTAGATATACATTTATTTTTACAGGGATGGGGACAAAAATGCACTGTGAAAGCTACTTGCCTGGATTTTACTACATGAGGGATCTTAATGAGGATTTTGGCAATAGTAGCTGGCCTTTATTTTACGGGGAGAAAAACTTACCGAACGTGCAACATTACAATGGTTACTCAGGGGATGCAAAGATTTTTTTGAAACAAAAAATGCTCGAACATGAGGCAGTATTTAAGAATCAGGTACCTTAGTTTTTTAATATTTTCGTTATACACCTTCATTGTTATGGAGTTTCCTGCAAATTATTTGAGGGTTGTGTGTGACTGTTATATCTTGATTGGAAAAATATTAAAGATGCAGTTCCATAAAATCATCTTTTATTGACCGAAAATCTGATTCTTTTGTTAGTCGTGTTTTAATATTTTCTTTCTTGTTTTTACCCCTATTAAACGAGCAATTACTCACCTTTTTAAGTTAATCACCGTATGGAAGGAAAATTTAATACTGTTTTGATTTTTTCAGATTCATTAATACTTTTCTTAACCTGTGTAAAAATAAGAAATTGAACTCTCTCTTTAGGATGAAGAGAGTAAGTGACTTCACTTTTTTTTTTTAATAATTATATACATTTTAGCTGGGATATAAAAGTAAACGGAAAAATGCTTTTGTGCAGCAGCTTGTGTGTGTTCTTTCTTCATTTTCATATCTTCCACACAAATAAATCTCTTTTACAACATTCATAAAATAAAACCATTCGACTTTTTCATGCAATTCAATGAATAAATCACTTTTATATGCTTCTAATGTTTTCTTTCTTTTATCCAGGTGTGTGAACTTCACCGTTTATACAGAATCCAGAGGGACATGATGGAAGAAGCCAAAAGGAAGGAAAAAATCGATAAAAATCGAGCTTCAATGGAGCCAGCAGCTTCATCATCAAATCATCACAATCCTCAAGTGGAGGCTAAAAAATGGCACATGGCAGGTTTTCATCTATTGAATTCTAGTGGGGTCAAAATAGTAAATTCTCCCACGAGTTGCTTAAGAACAAACGGGCCGACTTCAAAAGACTCCGAAGCCCCGAGGCCCACAAAGGCGAGGAAGAAATTGTTCGATCTTCGACTTCCAGCTGATGAGTACATGGATATTCAACAAGGGGAGAATTTAAAAGGGTATAAAGAATCTCATATATCAGGTTATAATAATGGTTTGGCAGATTTAAACAAAACCATTCAGATCGAAAACGATGTGGACCCATCATCATCTGTTGATTTTCTTGGCTGTGCTGGAAATATCAAGGCTAAAGGGATAATAGATCAACTTTCCAAGTCTAGTGTGGGTTATTTAGGTGATACCACCGTAAAAATGCGCAGTGGATTTTCGATAAATTCATCTTTCGAAAGTAAAGCTAATACGAGAGGACGTGAAGCAGGTAATTGTTTTTTGTCATGAAATTCCATGATTCTTTTTTATCTATTCATCAAAAATAGTTTTCTTCTATAAATTAATTAAGTTGAATGTTTGTGTATGGAGTTTGGCTTGTAGGTGGTCAAACTTCCTTTTTATCTCATATTCTTTTTGGCTCGACTATATTATCGTGCGATTATTCCGCTATTTTTTTTTTCTTTTTATCAATATTATGCTATTTATTTATTTACTTGTGAATTTGTCCATCTTTCAGGATCGTCTAGGGGAAACTACTACTCGCCCGCTCGAGAACCTCTTGGAACTAATCCGAGTGGTTATTATAACAAGGAAGTTGCATGGAGAGATGTGCCCCGACAGATTCTAGAATCTTCCAAGAGGAATAATCATAGCTCCTCTTATTTCACCCCTTCATGGGCTCATCATCCCATCTCATCTTGGGCCAACCAACCTAGTAGTTTGGCTCAAAACTCGGCCGCATTGGAAACAAGCCCAAGCCCGAAGCCTTTATTTTTCCAAAGAAACAATGAACCAACACCATTGAAGAAATCTTATAAAGCTGATGATAGCTCAACTACTACTCATCATGGTTCCGGCATACTCTTAACAGGCCCATGTCATGCGGGCCCAAGGCCCACGATCGACATTAACTTGATCCCGCAGGATATAAATGGAGAAATCAAGCCCGAAGAGTGCCAGCTGGCATCCTTGCCTTGGTTTAAACCCAAGCTAGCGAAAGATGAGACCCGACACGTTGAGAAAATTCTCGGGATTCCAATATTTGGAAAAAGCGCACTCGAAAAAAACGAACATTCATGCGTTGCTTCTGCCTCTGCCCCGGCGGCTAGCAACATCAATCTTCCCGAGGGCAAAATTGTCTTTAACGACGGGTCGATTGATATAAATGTTGTAGCTTGTGAGCCAGACGAGCAGAAAGCCCCCAACGACGAGCTTATTATTACTTCAGGAAAAGAAAATTTGAGAATGATCGACTTAAACTCTTGCCTAAGTGACTCTGAAGATTACCGAGCATCCAATCACGAACGAAAAACGGCAAGCGTCAAAATAACACTAGAAATCGACCTTGAAGTTCCCGTTTTTCTCGATAGCGAGGATGACAGCTCGCTCTCCAAGGAAAATGCGCCCTCACAGAATGCTAATAACGAGCCCGTAAAAGACGAAATTCTTCGAAATGCGGCCGAAACAATATTCGCCATGTCATCATCATCGTGCCAAGAAAAAGCCATGCGGCCCGGAGTTTCCTTATCCGAGGCCATAAATTGGTTCGTAAACGCAATCTCATCATGCTCGGGTGATGAAGAGTCAAGGGCAGCAAATGAAACAGTGGTCGACGAATATGAGGCCATGACATTGGAACTTTCCGAGACTAAAGAAGAGGATTACATGCCCAAGCCTTTCGTGCTCGATATTCAGGAAAACGAGGCCAATAATAATAATAATAATAATAATAATAATAATAATAATGGCTTAACGACGAGGTGTAGAAGGGGGAGGGGCCGTCAGAGGAAAGATTTCCAAAGGGACATTCTTCCGGGCCTGACGACACTTTCGAGGCATGAGGTGACAGAGGATCTTCAGATATTCGGTGGGCTCATGCGGGCCACGGGCCATTCTTGGAATTTTGGGCCCACGAGGAGGAATGGGCCCGGTGGTAGGGGAAGGAGACGTGCAGCGGCCCATGTTGCGTGTGGGCCCACTATTGGCAACTTGGCTTGTGCTGCAACTCTGTTGATGAAGCAAATTGGTGGTGGTAATAATAATAATAATAATAATAATAAGTTGGAGGATAAGAGGCTGACTGGGTGGGGGAAAACGACAAGGCGGCCGAGAAGGCAGAGATGCCCGACGAGTAATATTTCGACGGTCGTGTTGTCGTGATAGGGATATGGTGAGAGGGGCATTTCAGTCATTTGAATCCAGAGAGGTAGAGAAGAGAGCATTTCATTTTTTATTTTTATTTTTTTCTTTCTCTTAAATGGGTTTTTGGAGAGATTGGGTGGGTGAAAAAAGATGATGGATCATTTGTCTAATGTAAATGAAGAAGGTGTTTTAGTTGATTGGTTTGTCCTTTGGTTTGGTTTACTGCAGACTTGAATTTGTTTAGAGTATAATGTTTAGACTGATTTTTGATTATCTTCTAATATATTTATATATACAACAGCATTGCATTGGAGAATTATGAAGTAGTGATTTGAAATTTGTAGATTTTGAGATTAATTTTGCTGGTTAACTAAGCTGAGTTGATAAACGATGACGAATCAAACTCGAATTTTAATGAGTCGAGCAACTCATTTTGTTGAGTAGCGTGACTCGTTTTGTTTAATTGTTCTAATCAAAACTAAAATAATAAAATAAATTATAAGTAATCGTAACTTTTTTATTATTAAACAATGTAGTTGGGGGCTTCAATAAAATTACTCCATAATCTTTTCACTCTTGTCCTCAAATTCTAAAAACATGATACACATCCAAAAAAATATATATAACTATTTTTGAAAAAGAAACAAATTGAAAAATCCACAAAATTAATCAGCAGAAATTATTGTAAAAATAAAAGATGTTGTTCTGAAAACTATGACACAAAAAGGGAAAGAATTTCATCTGAATACACATATACACAACTCACTAGAAAAATAAAAAATAAAATAAAAATAATTAAATTTAATCAACGTAAATTCACAAAGTAAACACAGGAACTGCTTTCGTTAATCGATTATGGTCTCTGGTAAACGTATTTTGTTCTTGGATCCATAATCACACCCTTCCCTCCATTCACCTCTAAATCATGCCTGCATGCATTCCAAAATTTACCGTAAATTATTCTCTCTTTTTTTTTTTATTNAGGTACGTATTTGAATAGTTGCAGAAGACGATCAACGTAAACCACCTTCTTCCAGACCTGAATATCATTTTTTTTTTTTCGATTTCTTTCAAATTTGGAAAAGATTAAAAAAAAAATGGTACATAATATCCGAAAATTTGACCAATTTATCCAAGATTGTGCTTTACCATATCATCTATGAATAATTGCATGGCGAATATGGCAGCTTTCAGACCAAAAGTTGGATGAAGGACATATATTGCCTGCGCAATAAAATGTAAAAAATTAATAATACGAGAGATTTGTAAACTGCAAGAAAGAAAAAACAGTTTATCGATATTTTGATGTGGGATTTTTGGAATAGAGAATGTACGTGAAGATTACGCTGGTGTTTTCGACCAAGAATTTGCTCTAATCTCTTCATCCACCCGAGATCTGGTTGCCTGTAGTTAAACCAAATCAGATAAAATTTTGGTTCATAAATATAAATGTATGCAAGGATTTAATTAAAAAACAGTTTCCTGGAGATTTAGCTTTAGCAGAAGAATCCCAATTTTCGATGAAACTTATGAATATCCCATTTGTCATTTGTACTTGTTTCGTAACTTATTAATAACATAACCATTTGTTGCATGTTCCTTTTTGAATTTAAGCTAAAACCTCAAACTTTTTGGTTAACGATTCATCCCATTAACAAATAGTAAAACAGCAAATTCTGTACAAAAACTGGCAATCTAAATTAAAGGGAAAATACGCACATTTGCAAGGATGCTGCCGAGTGGAAATAAACAATACTGTATGGCTTCTGTATTAAGGGTTCGAACTCCTGAAAACAAAATGCATAAGAGCATGGAAGCTCAAGACCCTCAAAAATAAATTAAAAACAAAAAAAGCATCAAATGTAAAACTGAGACAATAGTAACATTATTCACCTTCACAACGTACAGAATAAACCTCTCTAAATCAAGACATCTAAGGAGAAAGTGTGCTCCAACAACCACCATTACTGGACGGCCTTCACTATCGACCCCACCTCGGTATCTGAAGTAAAAAAAGATAATAAAAAAAGAAAGAAATTGCATATTCTCAAATCTCAGAGCAGCTGACTAATGATTCTTGAGTAAAATGCTCCATATAAAAAATTTATAGTGGTGAATCCTTCTAATAGATGAGATTAGCACGAAACCCCTGTTAGTAAGAGATAATATCATGTATTCTTACAACTTTATAGGGCCACTAAAGAGTTTTGTTGCTAGAAAGCCCCTCTTACATGATGAGCATATGTCAAAGCCTTAAAGACTACAAATTTAGAAGAAGTTTCACGGTGCTTACACGATTTTCATCTCAGCAATGTCAGAAAGATTAAGGGAATTTGCTTTAGAAAGATATCTCGAATGGAGAGAATATTCTTCGGCAGCAGACAAAGGAGGACCCCCGAGATCTCCATATCCAAGAATCTTAGTAAGATTCCAATTATTTCTTGCCTGTGCAGCTTTTTCCCATTGCTCTACGCGTCTTTGATCTGGATCCTTGATCAAGGACATAAAAGCAGGATCCAGATATGAATCCAAGTATGATGAGTCCCTGTTTAAATTAAGACTGTTGGAAAAAAATGCACAAATTGAAGAAAAAAAGAAAAACAAAAGGCACACTTTTGAGAGAGGAAATAAATAGTCCTCAAATCATGCCAGAGACAGAACTCATTATCATTTCATACTTAGAAGTCACAGCAAAAGAACAAAAAAGAATCTCCACCTAAAAGACAGTTTTTCTTCATCAGAATATTTTATTAGTTTCTAAAGCACTGCATGGATAAAAAAGAAAAAAAAAATAAAGGAAAAGAACAGATATTTGGGCTCACTAACTTTCGTGCGAACCCAATATCGGTGACTTGTAGATCAGAAGAGGCTTGAGGGGATTTCGGAAGAGTCTTCTTCAAATTAGGTAATGGCTTTATTCTGATTTTGCGTTCGTCTATGACAGTTTCGCCATTTTCATCTCCAACATCGGCAGGAAGTTTCGAGATAGCAACCTCTTCCTCGAGTTTATCACGTGGAAAGTAAAGTGGAAGCAATCTGCATAGACAATTAATAGATAGAGATGCCAAAAATCAAGCACCAAATAAAATATGTGTAAATAGAAAATGTAATTTCGTGGTCAGTTAACTGGTAGTTACAGTAAAAACAGACCTTTTATATATCTCTGTATCAGATGTAGTCGTAGTACAGAATACAACTGCATCTATTTTATCTTTCTGCTTCTCGAGAAATCTTCTCACAGTCCCTAACCAAAGAAAATAAATAAAATTAACAGATGAAGAGAAGTAAAATGAACATCATTAATAAATGAAATTCATTAGTAAATTGGCTTACTTATGGCCACATGAGCAGCAGGTTCTCGTGGATAATTCTTGGTTTCTGTATATATACAGCCTGTAGCAATACTGCATTCGCAGTGAGCAAGATTTTTCAATCCCATTTTTTTACAGATATATAAATGCCACAAGAATAAATATTTAGATTTCGATTTTTAACTTTTGAACCACCTTCTAAGACCATTGTCAATGAGATGTTCAAGGCAAGACCGATAACAATGACTAAGAGCATTCTCTGCAGCCGTATGATATTTTACTGCGTATTTTGGTCCAACTGTATGTATAATCCTCCTGCAATATACAAGTAACTCCACAAAATGTAGTAAATACTGAGTCATTAAATATAAATGTGATTTTTTTCAAGAAAATTACTACAGATGGAAAATGAAGGGCCAAATGAGATGTTCTAGAGAGATACTACTAAGGAGTTTCACAACCTCGATAAAATAAATAAATAAATAAATAAATCTTCCTAAAGTAAAGAGAAGAAATTTTGAAAAAAACCCACCGTGCTGGAAGGTCATAAGCACTAGTGACTTTTGCCATCCCTGTTCGGCAGCCACCCTATAAAAGTGAAAGACAAATTACTATATCAGTACAGTTCTATAAAAATATCAAAAATCGAAAAGTTACATAACACTCAGGACTAAGTTATTTGGATTGTTTAATATGGTCAAATTTGTGGAGAACATTTTTTAAGCATCCTAATATGGCTGATTACAGTTTGAATTACATACTTTTAACTCTAGCTCCTAAAATTTATTTCAATTAAATCAATCGATTGTGCAAAGATCTAAAAACTATGCAAAAATGGCTCACCAATGTGGCACATTCTTCCGCCAAACCTGGTCCTGCTGCAGCATGCAAACCAGGGCTGCTGTGAGCTTCATCTAAATTCTGTCAAACGACCAGAAAAAACGTGCAATTTTTCAGTATCGGAAGTAATGTAGTCAAGTTATAAATAACCAATGGCATGAATGAAGGTATCAAACACTAACGTGATAAACATTTAATCAACCCAACTTCCTTAATTTGCTAAAATAGATAATCCATAATCTAATTAGGGTACTGCAGTAGCAATCACATGCAAATTCACGACAAAATGGCTGATAACTGCAGCCAATTTTCAATATATTCCACCAAAAAAAAAGAAGAATAAAAGTGCTGATCCAATGACCCAACACAAGCAATTGACAATTAAGAATGTGAAATGCGAAACAATAACTTAAAAAATGTTAATCTGCAAGAACCATCATTACAATACGATTCATCTATATAAAACTAAACCATAGATGATAACAGATGAACAAACTCACCTCATTAGTCGAATTAACTACAGCATCCACCTCGAGATTCCAAGGGTTCCCTCTCCAAAGACATATCTTCGAGTTGATTTCACGATCAACAGGAAATTTTGAAGCCATCCTATTTTCGCTGTTCTCTCCCTCAGATGCAGACATCAAAGGATCCGGAAAATAAGGATTCTGAAAACCCGAATCTTCATTTTCGTACGAGTATCTAAATTCGGAATCACTCCAATGTGGGATTTGGTCGAGTGTCACTACAGAATCTCCACTATCAGTCAGCAACCCACCTCGATTAGGGGTCGCAGCCCCAGAATGGTACATACTTTATTCACCTCTACCCACTCACTAACATAAAAAAGGTAACTTCTTTAGTTAC